GCGTGCGTGCGTGCGTGCGTGCGTGCGTGCGTGCGTGCGTGCGTGCGTGCGTGCGTGCGTGCGTGCGTGTGTGTCTGTGTGCGCGCGCGTGTGATGTGGTGTGACGCGGTGTAGCGTGGTGGTGGTGGGTGGGGTAGTGGGGTGGTGGTGGCGGTGCGCGTGCGTGCGTGCGTGCGTGCGTTGGTGGGTGGAAGTGGCGGTGGGCGAAGCGGGGCGCGGTGCGGTGGTGGCGGGCGGACGGGCGCGCGAGAAAGAGGCCCGCGCTGGGGCGAGAACGCCATCCTGAACGACGGAAGCAAAACACCGATCCGAAAATGAGACCCACGCTGCAGCGGGAGCACGATTCGGGACGAGCGGGGCCCGAAAATGAGGCCGGCGCCTCAGCGAGAGCAGCATTTTGGAAAAAATGCAGGCGAAAACCCAACTCCCGGGAATCCTGTGTAAAAAAACAGTACGCGGGGGCGAACACTCCCAGCACGTCATCAGGGGGAGAGGGAGAGTAGTATTCATATTGAGTAATTGCAGAAAGAAGAGGGTGGAAGAGCACTGGGAGGAGCAGCAGGAATTGGAGAGAGGAGGAGAGGGGGTCGGAAGAGTTGAAAGGGAAGGGGAAAAGAGGGAGGAAGGAAGATAATTAGGAGGAGGAGGGATGAGGGGCTGGATGGCGGAGGAGTCGCCATGGATTCGTCATCTACCAGGATGGGGGTGGTGTGTCGCCACCAAGACAAAGGGACAAAGGGCAGCGCGGCAACCATTTTACTGTGTATACACCGTCGGGCTGCCGACGGAGACGCTGACGTGGGTCAGAGTCCTCATGGATGCTTCTCGGGGTCTGGTCGACACGCTCTTGGGGGCCTCGGGGGACAGTGTAGGGGTCTCTTGGGAGCCTCTTGGGGGCCTGTTGGGGCTTCCCAGGGGCCTCTCGGGAGTATCTTGGGGTCTCTGCGGGGCTTCTTGGGGGCCTTTGGGGGGCTTCTTGGTTTCTCTTGGGAGCACTCGGGGCGGAGGGCTCGAAATGTCCGTTTTGGTCCGTCGTCTCGGCACCGTCTTGGAGCCGTCTTGGGTGCCTCTGGGGCCCTTTGGGGGGCGTCTTTGGCCGTCTTGGGACTTTCTTGGGCCGTTTCGGGTCGCTCGCGGAGCCCCCGGGGCGTCTTGCGGGATTCTTGGGCCGCGTGGGGGCCGCCCAGGCGTTTTGGACTGATCGTTCGGCGATTCGGGGCCTTCGTGGACTGTATCTGGGAGCCTCTGGGGGGCCCGCCTGGCCCGCCCTTGGCGCTAGTTCTGCGGCCCGAGAGCCCCCGAGGGGGGGGGCGCAGCGCATCTGCCCCGGGACCCCCCATCCAGGCCTGGACGCTTGGACCCGGGTCCGTACCTTTGGACCCCCCCCCCCTCCCTGCCGGCGGGAGAGGGATCCAAGGGAAGGGGCTTCCCTGCGAGTGTACGACGGCGTTGCTCAATGCAGGCGGCCCGGATCAGTAGGTCGGCCCTGCCGAATCAAGGGTGCCCTTGTGCCCTGTGTCTCGCGATCTGTGCCTCCTACATTCCTACGGCAATGTGGCACTCGGAAGGGTCTTCTGTCCTCTCGCGTGTCCTGTCCAATCAAGTCCGACCGTATTTCGCTTTGGGGCGCGTTTGAGGGGGAGAGCCCAGGGAAGGAGAGAGGAGCGGCGACGGGCACGAGGGCGAAAGAGACAACGATGAACGAATGACGGCGACGGCGACTCGAACGGAGAAGCCCCTCACACACGCCGACAGTGTCGGTGGTGTGTTGAAGTGGAGTCCGACCACGATGGCTTCATGTAAGCCTCCTTAGCCGCTTCAGGGCCAATCCCCAGCGCCATCACAAACAAAACCAGTATCCTCCTCATCCAAATAACATCATCACCAGTGGCAGCGCCAGCATCAGTACCATCAGCATCATCACCATCATCAGCACCATCACCCTGACCATCACCAGCACCTGCATTATCATCACCACCATGGGCATCGCCATCATCGCCATCTCCTTCTTCGTCCCCTATCAGCACCATCAGCCTCGTCACCACCACCATCACTGACCACACGCAGCGCCTTATCGCACGTGAGCCTCATATGCTCTCGTCCTCCTCATCATCCTCGCCCTTGCCATCCCCATCACCACCGCCATCCGCCTGCCCTGGCCCGCAGGACGGCGTGGCCAAGGGCCTCCGCGAGGGCCGGGACCTGGGCATACCGCGCCGTGCGGCGCGCGCGGAGCGGGAGCGCGCGGCGGCCCCGCCGCGCCGCGGGCCGCGACCTCGGGGGGCCGACGACGGCGTCGGCGGCGTCGCTGGCGACGACGGCGTCGGGCGGGCGACGGCGGCGGCCGCGGCGGCCCTGCGGCGGCGCTGGGCGGCTGCGCTGGGCGGTGGCGGCGGCGGCCCCAGGCTGGCGGCGATGCGGTTTTGCGGCTCTTCCTCGGCTTCGGCCCCCCCTCGGGCCAGGACTGACGGCCCCCCCTTGGGGCCATCACGCACGGCTCCAGGACTGACGGCCTCCCCCCCGCGGACGCGGCCGTGGCGCCGCGGACCGAACGAGCCGCGCCGGCGGACGTCCGGGGCGGAGGCTGCCTCGCCGCCGCCGGGGGCCCTCAGGGGCCGCGTGGCAGCTCCGCCCCGCTGCCGCCGCCGGGCACCTGGCGCCACGGGCAGATTGCGGCGGCCCGTGCGTCCAGGTTCCGGGCCCTTGGGGGGGGGGCCGCTTCGGGGCACCGGGGCAGGGAAGGAGTTTCGCCTTCCAGGGGCAAGACAGGCACAGGGGGGGGTGCATCGACCGCCAATCGCCCATGGCTCGCCGATTGGGGGCCCGACAGCCCCGACCTGCCCTATGAGGGTGCGGATCCGCGACCGGAGGCCCATCGCCGATCTATCGGCGATGTATCGCCGATGCCAGGTCGACGCATCCCCCCCCCCCCCCAAGGCCAGTCCCCCCCCCGTTATCGTTGCCCCTCAGCCTTGGGATCCAGGTTGCGCTGCCGCGCGGCTCCGCCAGGGCGCTCGGGCGGGCGGGGCGCGGCGCCCAGTGGGGTGGGCACGGACCTCGCCCTCCTTTTCCCCAAGGCTCCGTACCTGGGACCACCTGCTGCTCGGAGTTCCACACACTGTGCACTTCTAATTCTTCGAAGGTGCTTTGGTTTTCTGGGTGCCAAGATCCTTTCATGATTCCAAATTGTTCTAGCCTGGGCCTCTTCCTGGCCACTAGGGGGCCAGGAACAGTTAGTTGGAAACGAGCACACTTAGACATGAGCACGATCAGAAATGAACGACGTGGACAGACGTGTACAAACGCTGAGTCTTGGCCACGACAGTGAGCGCATCTTCGGCTCGATCCGCCGGGGGGGGCCTCACCATTGATTTGCAAAGGGCGAACGGGCCCGACGAGATCACCGACCGCTGCAAGCGCGGTGGCGGATTCACTCGACGGTACGTCAGGGTGACGCTTCGCTGGAGTAACTTCTGATGCGGGCCCGGTGGGGCCACCCCATCGCTGAATGCGATGCGATCGCAGCGGTTTGTGCGCTCCTGCCTGGCCCCCTCTGTGAACCCCGTGCACCAGAGGTCGCTTCTGCCCGGGGTCGCTCTCGAGCGCCTTCGATGCACCGCACGTGCTCCGAGAGCGGCGGCGCCCACGAGGAGGTGCTGTCGCGAGGGGGGGGCCCAAACAGGCGACAGACCGTCCAAGCAGGCAGGTGGGCGCCCTCGAAACCCGCACGGCTTCTGAGAAGGAGGAGGAGCAGGGGCAGGAGGAGGAGGAGGAGCAGGAGGAGGAGTAGGAGGGGGGGAGGAGGAGGAGGAGGAGGAGGAGGAGGAGGAGGAGGAGGAGGAGGAGGAGGAGCAGGAGGAGGAAGGCTTCCTGGAAGCCCCCAGGCCCTTCGAATGAGGCCCCCCCCCGCCTCCAGAAGGCCGCCTCCCTCGCGCGAGCCCCGTGCGGGCGCCGCCGAAGAGAGGAGGGGAGAGCGGGACGGCGCCTGGAGGCCCCGGGCCCGTGTCGCGAGAAGACTGGCCGTCGGACGTGAGCGGGGACGACCGGGCACTGCGGAAGACCGCGTCGGTGGCTCGGGCCCTCGGAGGAGGGGCGCGGGTCGCCGCACGCGTCCAGTTCTCTCCGGCGAGATGTTCTGGCATGTCATCGCCGCTGTTGGCCAGGCTGTTGTCTTCCTGCTGTGCGATTGCGATGCGCACGAGGAGGAGGAGGAGGAGGAGGAGGAGGAGGAGGAAGAGGAGGAGGAGGAGGATCAGGAGGAGGAGGAGAAGGAAGGAAGAACAGGCAGAGAACGGGACAAAAGGAATTGGCGGCGGACGGGTAGACGGATAAGGATTATGTAAAAAAAACCGTGGGGGGGAGGGGAAGGAGGACAGCAGCCGCAGGATTAGGGAGAAAGAGGGAGGCGGAAGAGGAGGAGCAGGATGAGCTGGCTGAGGAGGTGGAGGTTGAGGTGGAGGAGGAGCACACAGACCAGCACGAGCAGTGCGAGGAGGGAGAATGAGGAGCAGGAGGTCGAGGACAGGACAGATCAGGAACAGGAGGACGCGGAGAGAGGCAGGAGAAGGCAGGAGGAGGAGGAGGAGGAGGAGGAGGAGGAGCAGCAGCAACAGGAGGGAGCAGGAGCAGGAGGAGGGAGGAGCAGGTGGAGGAAGGAGGGGGGAGCAGGAGGAGGGGGGAGGGAGGAGGGGGAAGGACGGACGGAGGGAGGAGAGACCCCCCGGGCGGTCTCCTTGCCGTCCGCCGGTCGGCCGCCCGCCCTTCCCCTCCCCACCCATTAGTCGAGACCAGGAGCCGCCCATCGCCTACGCGTCGCCCGCGCAGGGGCCGCAGCCTGGCTGGGGCTCCGTGGCGATCAGGTCCACGGCGATGCCCTGACCTGGCCTCCCCCTTCTCCTCCACCTTGCTCCGCCCCCTCCTCCCTGCTCCCTGCTCATCCTCGACCTCCTCGATGGTCCTCCTCCTGCATGATCCTCCCCCCTCCTCATCCTCCTCCTTCTTCTCCTCCTCCTCCTCCTCCTCCTCCTCCTCCTCCTCCTCCTCCTCCTCCTCCTCCTCCCCCCTCCTCTTCCTCCTCCTCCTCCTCCTCCTCCTCCTCATCCCCGTCGAAAGTGACCTTTGCCCAGGCGGGTGCCTGGACGGGGCGTCCGAGGCGCCCCCCACCTCTCCTCCGCCCGCTCACCCTCCCGCCGCACGCTAAGCAGCTCCCGGCATGCTCTTCGCTGCCCGCCTCGACGGGCTCCGAGGCCAACTTGCGGCGGGAGTGCCATGCTCCCTTCGGGCCAGACGAAAGGGGGGGATAGGGAAAGGGGGAGTCACGAAATCTGCTGCGTGCAGCTGGTTTCAGCCCCACCGAGGGGCCCACTCCTCGATACCTGGCCGCCTCCGGCGCCCGGAGGCGCCTGGAAAATCAGCTGCGTGAGCTGAGTCTCAACCCCCCCTTTGCGATCCCCCCCTTTCGCCCGGCCCGATCCCTGCAGGTCGGGCCCGCCCTGGAGGCGGCACAGTGCAAGGTCGAGTGCGGTCTGAGGCCGCTCGGCGCCCCTGCATCCGGACCCGACGCGCGAGGTGGCCATGCAGTGCCGCGGCGTGTTGGCGGACCGCAGCGTCGGAAGCGCGGTAGTGGACAGGGGCCATATCAGAGCGTGAATTACCTACCCCGCTTTCGCTTCCAGGCAAAACCAAGTCATACCACGCGCCTCCTCGTCAAGCGGCCTGACCAGTACAGGCCGTAGTTTGGCATCGCTCGGCATCTCTTGGAAGCGAGGGTGGTCAAAAGCGAGGTAGGTTTGTTTGCCCCCCACCATGGGCATTGTGACGGCAAGGTCGAATTGGCATATTGGATTCGGGCGGCGGGACCCCATGCGTTGGCCGTTCAACCTGACCACGATGGTGGTGACGATCATGATGAAGATAACGAAAAAATGATTGAGTTGGTGACGGTGATCGTTTTGGCAGAAGAGGTGGGCGCCGCCGTCTCCAACCAGGATTCTGATGTGCCACAACGCTCTGCCACGTCGTGATCTTTGACACGCTGGTTTCGGAGACCCGTGGTCCTCGACTGGACCGCCGCCTAAAGCACCTCGTGATTATCATTCGCATCCAGAGGCCCCATCATGTCCATTCATTAGGTCGGCAGTTGTTGTCCGCCCTGCTTGCTGTGATGTGGACGTTCTCGGACACGAGCCCGCAGCCGACGATACGGCTGCAGGGCATGAAGGTTTTCGGATCGGATTGCCCTTGGGTCTTATGGTGGCAGCGGAGATCATCACGGCGACGGTGCGTTTCTCGCTTTCTGGCTGTTCTGACGGGGACCGCGCTCACCAGGATCCAGATGTTGCTCATCAGGATGGCGGTGGTCTTGGGGATCGTGACGGCAGCGCAGATCTGCAGAGTGATGGTGCGTGCCTCCCTCCTGGTTCTGATGTTGGTGGCCATCCTCGTTTGGATCCGACTTCGGGTCTCGACGAACATTCGCGACAGGACGGTGGTGTCGACCCTGGGGCGGCTTGCCCCCTGAGTGGCAAGATGGCCTCGTGGCTCATTGGATGTATCAGCATGGTGGCGGCGATGATCTCCTCTCTGCTGCTGGTGATGCGCTGCCACCTCGGGGTGGCAGTGGGCATCTTCGCTTCACTCAGGATCTTCCTCCTCTCGGCAGCGGCCACCTTCATCGCGCGGGAGGTGGCAGACGTCCGCGGCCCGAGTTGGATGCTCTGCCCACCGGTGGAGGTGCCACGCCCCGCGCCCTCGGCCCCACGGAGTGCGCAGCCCCCGGCAGCATCCTTCTGTCAAGAGGGCGGCTGGGAGCCAGGCCAGGCGTGGGGCCTCTGTTCAGAGCGTGAATTACCTACCCCGCTTTCGCTTCCAGGCAAAACCAAGCCATACCACGCGCCTCCTCGTCAAGCGGCCTTGACCAGTACAGGCTGCAATGTGGCATCGCTCGGTATCTCTTGGAAGCGAGGGTGGTCAAAAGCGAGGTAGGTGTGCTTTCCCCCTATCTGTGCCAGGGCGAAGGTACCCAGTGGCCAAGCTCAACGTCGAGATGGTGAAGATCACGGCTGTGACCAAGTCCAACACAGCATGGGATCAGTCTTGTAATGTTGGGCCCTCGGGCACGACGTGCGTTGGCCGCCATGGGACCAGGGGCGACCGACCGCGCATCCGTTTGCCAGAGTATGAGCGGCCGTACCGTCATAGGCAGTCCCTGAGTCTGGCGTGGCGAGCTGATGTATTTCCCGTCTGGCCTGATGCGCACGCCAGGGGCGGGGGCATACAGGTGATTCGTGTTGAGCTGTATGTGGTGGGTGGGTGGTAGGTCGGGCTCACCGCACAGGCTAAAGTCTGGCTGATCTTCGTTCCAAGTTCTGGGTGTGCATCGGCGTCCGCCAAGTTGTTGCGGTCAAGAAGCTGACATAAGGGACAGTTTGGGTTCGGAAGGGGCTCGATGTTCCTTAGGTCCTTCCATGGTTGTTCCTCCAGCCCTCCTCGTGAACACGGTGGTTTGGGGGCCTGACAGGGGTTTCGTTCTTTATCTAGCGTTTCTTATTGCAGCGGCTCGACTATAGGTTTCGCGGTCGTGCCACACTCCGCCTTCCACTTGCACTTCTACGGCGCGGCGGGCCTGACTCTCCCCTCGCAGGCCCCAAGGTGCACAGCGGATGCGGGGTCTCCACCTCCCTGAGAAAAGAGACTTTTCGATTGTCCTTATCCTGCTCGATCCTCCCCCTGCTCCTCCCCCTCCTCGTCCTCCTCCTCCTCCTTCCTCTCCTCATCCTCCTCATCCTCATCATCAGCATCATCAGCAGCATCATCACCATCATCAGCATCATCATTACCACCAGCATCATGATCCTCATCCTCATCCTCATCCTCACCCTCCTCATCCTCCCTCTCCTCTGCCTCCTCCTCATCCTCCTGTTCCACATCCTCGCGTTCCCTCATCTCCCCATGCTCCTCATCATTGGTTCCTGGCTGCTGCCGGCCCGAGGGTTCGTCGAACGCGGCCTCACCCCCCCAGGGCCGGGTCGGCCCTGGAGGGGGTGATCAGACTGGGGCACCTGGCAGCGGCATGCTGCGGCACACGGCGGGACCCGTGGTCGCAGAGGGGGTACACCTTAGGCGATGCTTAAGAAAACCTAAATTTTCGGCCAGAGTCTCGAGTATTCTTAATTTTTCAATGTAAATCCCAAGATTTTAATAGAAATGTTGGGTTTTATTCCATTTCTGAGACTATGAATTTCTTAACCCATGATTTCTTAAGCATTTCGCAGGGTGTACAGTCTGGGCCCTGAAGAAGGAGCCCTTTTCGTTGGGGAGGGGCTCGGTGTTCCTCCTGGATTGCTTAGCAGTTTGCCTTGGGTTTTCCTTAGGGTTCCCCGGGAGAAATCGAAGCTTCACTTCTGGGAGAAGGGGGCCTCGTTCCCTATTTAGGGCTCCTTAGGTCCACGCCCCGACTGTACCCGGAGGCGAGGAGAGGGCAGGCCGACGAGGCCACTGAGGGACGAGGTTGAGGCGGAGGAGGGAGGAGGAGGAGGAGGAGGAGGAGGAGGAGGAGGAGGAGGAGGAGGACGCGGAGAATGAGGAGAGGAGGAGGAGGAGGAGGAGGAGGAGGAGGACGCGGAGAAATGAGGAGGGAGGAGGAGGAGGAGGAGGAGGAGGAGGAGGAGGAGGAGGAGGGGAGCAGAAGGAGAGGCAGAGGAGGGGAGCGAGGAGGGCCCGCCGGAGCACGGAGAGCCCCGGGAGCTCCTCCCGGGGAGGCCTCCAGGCCACAGGCGCCGGCCCTTGACAGTGGAAGTGCAAGGTTCTTCCTCCTCCTCGTCCTCCTCGTCCTCCTCCTTCCACCTCCTCCTCCTCTCTCCTCCTTTCTCCTCTCCTCCTCTCCTCCTCCTCCTCCTACCTCCTCTCTCCTCTCTCCTCCTCTCTCCCTCTCTCTCCTCCTCCTCTCTCTCCTCCCTTTCTCTCCTCCTCTCTCTCTCCTCTCTCTTCCTCTCTCCTCCTCTCGCCGCCTCTCTCCTCCTTTCTCCTCCTCCTCCTCCTCCTCCTCCTCCTCCTCCTCCTGCTCCTCCTCCTCCGTGTACCTGGAACCTCTGCATCCTCCCCCGCACTCCCCTGGCGGCGGCCGAAAAAGCGGGCTTCTGGCGTTCGGTAATGGGGGGGCGATCATACATGGGGGCGCGTCGAGGGCTGCACGAGGGGGGCCTCAAAGGGGCCCTCGACGAGCCCCCCAGGGCCCCGAAGGGGCACGAAAGGTGCGCGAAGGGTGCACCTTTCTTACCCCCCCCCCATCCATCGCCCCCCCCCAACAGGGAACGCCCGAGGGCTGGCGTGTGGCTCGTGCTGTCGGGCCGCGCGGCTCCCTGGGGCCGCCCTCTGTGGCACCTGGCGCGCGGGCGGCGAGGCGGGCTCCGGGCGGGGGGCCGTGCGCGGCCTGGGCCCTCCAAGGGCCCTGGGGTTCGGCGCTTCCCCCCCCCCCCACCGCCCTCCGTGCAGTTGTAAGGCGGTCCTGTCCCTGTACAGGAGGAATAATAAAAAATAGTAAAAATCACCCCAGTGCGACCCTACCTAGGAGTTGGAGCCCTTAGGAAAGCAGCATTAGTAGTAACGGTAAACGCCGTCCTCCTCCTTCTCCTCATCGTCGTAGTTGCCTTTGCTTTTGCTTGTGTTTGCTTTTGCTTGGTTTTGCTTTTGCTTTGCCTTCGCACACACACACGCGCATGTTTCTGCATTCGCTCACTGGGTGGGCTCTCTGATCGTACTGTTGCACATTGCTTTTGTTTTGCCTTTCCTTTGCTTTGCTTTTGCTTTGCTTTGCTTTGCTTTGCGCTGCTCGTGCTTTGCTTTGCTGTTGCTGTTGCTGTAGCTTAGTTCAGCTAAGCTAAGCTAAGCTACGTTAAGCCTTTCGCTGTTGCTTTCCTTTTGCTTGGTTTTG